AAAATTGCACTAGTGGGTTCATTTAAGTGGGTTATTTGTTCAAATATGATCTGTCATGGTTGATCTCAAAGGAATGCATTTATTTGGACATGTAAGGCTACAAATCAATTATTATATAATAACCTCTTGTAAGGTTGTTGTAATGTAGCAGAACGTTTAGAGAGCAAATCTAAATTCAAGTCACACTCAATAACTTCCTCAGAACTAACATGTAATGGCAATACTTCGGCAGTCTCTGACAGAGCTGAACTGCTTGCAGCAGGAAGATGATGAACTCCAGTAACAGTAAAATGTGCACTACCTCCAGGGGAGTCAATAACAATATATTCAGCAGTCTGGTTGCGAAGCAACATTAACAAGGCGAGTCTCTGAGTAGAGCCTTTGACACAGTCATACTGCACCTTGTTGTTTTCCTGTCAATGCCAAAGACATGTAGTAATCCAAATTTATGTCCACATGATTGACCTGGTTAGGCAAGTTTCAGTAATGACAAAAATTCACTTATGTCAACAAAATCCAATTTTTGGATTTGTAAGGGGCTTCTAATGTTTAGCTGTACTATAGCTCACTGAACTCTTGTACTGAGATGTCATTTCAGTGGAGATATGTTCTCTCTCTCGGGAGGCTGTGTATTGATCATTGAAAGATTATTTAATTTAATGATAGATAAGGTGGGTCAGAAGCTAGAGCGGGTCAGGGTGGATGAGGATTCCTCCATTCTGCATGTCAAAGTATCCTTGAGCAAGGTCCTGGATCAGAGTCGTGACTGGGTGAATGAGGCTTGTAGTAAAAAGTACTGTTAAACTAGGAAAAGTGCTAAACAAGTACCACTCCACTGATCTGGATTAATAACTACCTAATAGCATTTCACTTCTGTAATTCTGCAGGAACACTCATATCAGTTGCCTTTCTTCTGATATGCAGCCTTCTTCAGTGGCCAGCTGTATGGACACTATGAGTCCTGCTAGCTTCCTTTTTTCCCCCTTTTCCTGCCAACTGGTCCTCAGCTGTATGAGACACTTTTCATATTTACAGCTAAACAACAAGTAGGTCTGAGAGACCATTACCTGAGCATGAGATGAGAAGCTTCTTCCTCCCGTACGCTGAAGACATGCATGTAAGATTATTTGGTGACTCTAAACTGGCTACATATGTGAGGTTGATGGAGTGAAATGTATAGAATAAAAGTGCTATATGAATGTATGCTTAAAGTTCTCTGAGGGGTCAGTAAGATGACAAAAGCGTTGTATATATGTGGATATTATAGCACAGCAGCCAGTATTGCTGCCTCTCTGTACTCATTAGCACACTGACAGCATTTCCATGTACTGAATATCTTAAAGAGCTCTGCTAACCTTGCCCTTGCTACTTGACATCCCACCGTCCATTTGCATATGTGCAGGAAATTAAGCATTTCATCATGTATGCAGATGCTTTCTGCAACTCACGTAGGCACACTGATGCATTCCTTTTGACTTCCATCCTCGAGTCTCCAGACTGGCTCTGTTTCTGTGTCAGTTTACACGGCTGTCTGAACAGTGCATTTTTACAATTCCCTCTGCACACTGATGCGTTGTGTTAAGATTAGTGATGGTCACCTCAGCTGTATGTGGAAATGGCAGGAACAAGAGCCTGGCCTTGTTTAAACTACACTTGCTGATACCATCAAAAAGGCCTTTTGTTGCAACCTGTGCATTATTGTGCTCGAGGCATCACTACAGGAAAAAGAATCATAACCATCAGAGATTCTTAGTAACACTGGGTGAGAGGCCTCTGGTCTGGTATACTCAACCACATACATAAGCCACAACATTAAAACTTAATCTGGCACAACCCCCCCATTCCCAAGAAAACAGATTTAACCTGGTAGGGCATGGACAAAGGACCTATGGGGGTGTCCTGTGAAGTTCTAGGTTATTGGTTTGTGGGTTCTGCAGCTGGGTCGTACTCTTAGCGTGGGGGATTTTGCTTGGTCTTTAGAAAATTTGATGTCCATTAAATGGCAGAACCTAAAGTTTACCAGGAGAAGGTTATAATGTAATGAGATCATTAGCATTATTAACTTCACCTGTCAGTGCTGATAATATTTTGCCTAGTATAATTTTTAAACTGTTCTTTAAAGTGCTGCAGGAAAGTCTTTTACAAAGAGTATGCCAGAGGCTAAAAAAAATTGTGACACAGAAATGGTGTTTTTGAAGGTGAGCTTAGGAAGAAAAAACCCAAAACCTTTTTGTAGCTTTTCGTAGTTTTTAAATAAAGAGAAAAAGCTACAGGCTGGGAGCAGGTGAGAACTGCAGTACACTACACACAACGCAGATCAGTTACAAAAATGAAACGTTAGTTTTTGGTTAAGATATAGGCCAGTCATAGGACCAACAAATCATGTTTACAGGATGAGAGCAAAAGAAGTGAGCAGCTGTACTTTTAATGAACAACATTAATGTTATTGTGAAGTCACTGAAGTTATGGTTCCTTGAGCTAAAGACATTATGCAGCTGGTGGGTTGTGAAATGCCAGACGTGTCCTCTAGCTTGTGTTGAAAAATGGTAGTAGCCAATATCCCTGAGGCCGAGAGGCCTTGAATATTCAGCAGTATGTTTTTATTAGTATCAATTATCATGTGTCAAAAAGAAGTCAACAGTAACAGCTCAGCACAGTAAGAGAAAATTTACTTTAGTACTTTAACAATGTTAGCTGTTGGAAACCAAAAAAAGGCCTTATTTTTATTATTTTAAATCCAAAATTTTCCACATATGGGATAAAACATGGCCGAATGAATATACCCAAACTAACAGTGTGTGATTTTGCACCACGACTGTCATTTCACCACCACGTCCATGACATGACGCCTGGCGCGAACATTCAGTCTTTAGGGATGTTTACGGCTGTCGCTACGTGTTATTCAGTCATTTAGATTTTTCATGCAAAGCTGATTTTGTATGGGATGTTTTTGTTGTTTTGTTATTTATAGGACCAGTACAACACAACCTATCGCAAAGAAGACAAAGAGGCACTAGACATTGTTCATTGTGATTAAATAAGTGGAAATATACTGAGGAACGATTTTAGAACTAATTTTGTTTACCTGGGACATAATGGATCTTTCTTTGATCTTATTACATGCTATCACACTGGAAAATTATCTTAAATACCTAAACAAAATCAATCAACAAATTAAGGATTTTCTTTATGCACAAGCAAACTGAATGTTGCAGAAGATACAGCAGACATTTTTATGAATTCAGTAGTTTAGTTTATTAAGACCCCCGTTAGCTCCTGCAATAGCAGTACCTACTCTTCCTGGGGTGTGACAAATGTACTACATTAAAGGAAAAAAAAAAAGGCTCAAAAACAAGAGAACAACACAATTAAAACCAATAGCTCCACATTAAACATCTGTAGGATTCACAATAGCTCACTTTTGCTTTTTAAATGATCAACTCTGACCAACATGCTCATCACACAAGATGTCCAAAACCTAACAAGAAATAACCAATTCTACTGACTATTCCCGTGTAATTATACATATATATAGTCTCAATTTTTTGCAAAAAGTTGTGTTAATTCCTAAGATCAAGAATAGTCCTCAAACTAGTCATTTGAGGATGACTATTCTATCCAGTCTGTACTTTGGAGTCAGACGTATAAATATGTTTAAAATCTAAATGATAAAAGCTCCTTCTAGGATCATGCTGATTGTTTGTTGTTGTGAAATTAAACCAAACCAAACTAAACAAGCAGCTAAACTTAAGTTACAGAAGATTATTTACTCAACTGTACAGTAACTCCTAACATAACTCCTGTAACTTTGTCTCTGATTTCTAGGAGTTGGTCAGTTAGCTTGATGCTAACACCGAATGAAAGTACAAATCTAAGACTAGTCATGAAATTTAGTTAATAATGTTAAATATTAAATCATCATGATTAAGGTACCTTTATCTGAGATCTTTTCTCTTTTTTGTTTATTATAGATCGGCGGACTAAATTTTGGAG